GCGGGCTCGACGGCGCCCCAGACGGCCGTCTTCCGGAGCGCCTCCTCCAGCGGGCCGTCGTCTCGCGCGGCGCCCCGGGGGTCGAGGTTGCGCCGCACCGTGCCGCGCAGCACGACGCCGTCCTGCGGCAAGCCCGTGAGCCGCGACCGCACCGCCCGCCGCGGGAGGAGGGCCAGGTCCCGCCCGTCGATGGTGATGCTGCCCCCCTGAATGTCCAGCAGCCGCGCGAGCGCCAGGACGAGCGACGACTTGCCGCTGCGGTGGGGCCGTTAGATGTTTCTCTCGGCGGTGTGAAAAGTTGCAGGGCCTTTCTTCTCACCTTCCGGAGCGGCCGCACACGCCGACTTTTTGACCTCCCCTGATGGTCAGCGACACTCCCCTCAGGACGGGCTCGGTGTCGTCACTGCAGGCGGTTTAGTTTCTCTCGGGTGGGTGTTGGATAAAGCGGGGGGGGGGAAGACGTGCCTGTATGCAGCGACGACGTGCTCCAGCTCAATGTGTCCGTTTGTCGGCCACGCGGGGGGCGGCGCGGCGCGCTCGCACGGCTTGTTCTCGTCCGGGGTGCTGCTCGCGAACCACTTGAGGCGGGCGACGGCGCCGAGGGACGTCTCGAGGCGCGTCCACTGGTCGATGGCCATTGTCAGCGTCTGGTTGAAGCCGATGAGGCTGACCATGGCGAGCCCGACGGCGCCCCTGGTCGTGTGGCCGGGGGCGCGGAGCGCCACGGAGACGAGCACCAGCGCGGTGCCGGCGACGAACAGGTCCAGGACGACCTGGAGCCAGCGCTGGGTGCAGAACATGGTGTAGAAGGGCTTTTGGGAGGCGTCGAGGCGCCGGTGGTTGTCGGCCAGGAAGGAGGGGGCCCAGCCGAAGGCGCGGATGGTGGGCAGGCCCGCGAGGGTTTCGGTGAATTGTGTGTAGAGCGGGGATTTCGTTTCGAGGTCGAGGAGGCGCAGCTGGCGCGACGTGCGGAGGTAGTACTTCTGGATGAAGTACAGGGCCAGGAAGCAGATGGGGATGGTGGCGGCGATGGAGGGTGCCCCGGAGGCGATGAGGCCTGTTTCCGCAAGGGCGCGGAGGGAGACTGGCGGGAGGGAGGGTCTTGGTTAGAGGAGGTGCTCGGAGAGGATGAAGGGTCGGGGTACGTACGCGTCGTGACGTTGAGAAAGGCCATGGGGAGGGCGTTGTCGACGAGCGTCATGTCCTGGCTGAACCTGGAGGGGGGGAGTTTAGCGCATGTGCGAGATTTGGGGGGGAGGGGGTTGACGGACCTGTTGAGCGTGATGCCGCTGTCTGTGCTGGTGAAGAAGTGAAATGGTGCTCTTGTTTGGGCTTGTTAGCTTCAAGGGGTGACGTCTGGAGGTTGAAGGGGGGGCTTTGGCGTGCGTACCGGACGACGCATCGGAGGAGCATGTCGTGAAGACGGATGGCGGATTTGGGAACCCCGACGAGAGAATAGTACCTGGGGGCTTTGTTAGTCGAGCAAGACGAGGGGAATCGCGCAATGGAAATCATTACCCCATGTTGAGAGCCCCGAATGTCGTCGACGCAAGCGCAAACCCGACGTAGCCGGCCATGTAGGCGTAGTCTGTCGGCCCTGTGCCCTTTTGCGTCCAGAGCTTCAACCAGATCTCTACATGACGGTCAGCTGAGAAGATTTCTTCTCTTGTATATCCAAGGGACGCAGAGTGCTGGCAGAAACCCACGCGGCATTTTGACCATGGCGGTGTGCAAAACACTCCCCATCAGCAGCATGACCATGGCCATTGTGCCCAGGGACCGCACGTAGATGCTGTAGCAGTCAAGGTCGCCCGTCTGCCGACTGAGATGGGCTTCCGTCTTTGGAGATGGATTGGCGGCTGCTTCCTGGGACACCTCGACCTTTTCCAAACCTGCTTCGCCAGAGCCGCAGACGGTCATGGTGCTGTCGACGTCGGTGTCGCTCTCCAAGATGCCCCATTCCGAGGGGTCGACTGAGCCGAAGCGCACCTGGTTCCGGACAGTGGTCCCGTCACCGAGCACGGTAATGTGATCAGCTGCAGGGAGCAAGTTGACTGTTTTTTTCCCCCAAAGTGTAAGTTTCATGTCCAAGGGAATTTGTGGTTGGGGGAACTGCAAGCGCACCATGGTTCGTAGCCAAGATGACGGTGGCATTCAGCCGTCGAACGAGGCCGTCTCTGCCCAAGACGCGTTGGAAGACGGTTTTGGACGTAGTGCTGTCCAGGCCGCTGAATACGTCGTCGAGGAGGAGAAGGCTGCGTCGCGAGTATACGGCGCGAGCAAGGGCCTTGATTTTCCAACCGTCAAAATCTCTTGATCGTGCCGCAACAGGGGTTTCATTTTGCATGTTGACGGGGGCGACTTACAACTCGTTGTTTCTGGCCGCCGCTCAATGCCACGCCTCCGGAGCCGACAATGGTGAAGTCCCGCATGGGGAACATGGAGATATCCTCGTCCAACGCACAGGCTTCGATGACGGTATACAGCCACTTCTCGTCGAGGGGGGACTGTGCCACGATGTTGTCCCGGATGGAGCAATTCTGCAGCCACGGCGGCTGGTCGCAGTACGCCATGGAGGACGCGTTGGCGACGAGGCGACCCCTTGCCAGGGCCAGTTCGCCGGCGATGGCTTTGAGCAGCGATGACTTGCCGCAGCCGACGCGGCCGACAATCATGGATGTGGTTCCCTGTGGGAAGACCATGCTGATGTCTGTGAGGACCTTGGTATTCTTCCCGACTGTGAAGGTGGCGCCTTCAATTGCCACGGCGGGCATTGAAGAGTCCAGCGACGGGCGGGTTTCGGCCTCGATGTTTGACGCTGAATTCGCGTCCGCGGGGGACAGCGTGGAAGAGACGGTCGAGGGAGCCATTTCCCGCGAGTCCCTTCTTTCATCTATGGTGAGGAATGCCTGAAGGCGGGAGAAGCAGCCAACGGCACCGAATAGCTGCACGATTGAAATGAGGATATTGACGAGCGGCGTCGCCGCGATGCCGATGATGGAGAGGGAGGTGAAGGCCTCGGCAACTGTGAGTCCCTCGTCCGCCTTGGTCCAGAAAATGGCGGCGACGATGACCATGACGGGCGTGATGTCTTCAGATGCCATTGCTAAAGAAACAGGGGGGGGTCAGCACCCTCCGAGTGCGAGTATCAAGATGCCGCAGAAGGGGAAATGTTTTTTCTTCTTCTTTACCAAACGAATTGAGTTGGACTAGTATCCATCGAAACTTGACCGCCAGCTTGAGTTCGTCAACGCGGAGAGTCTGCAGCGAGTCGTGGAAAAGGTCCGTCAGGCCCATCATCTTGACGCCCTTGATCTGACTCAACATTGTCGAGACGGAGCCGACGCGCTCCTGGATGGCCTTGTTCCATTGGACTCGGGCTGGGCCCAAGGCTGGGGAAACCAAGGCACCAGCAGCAGAGGTGCCTAGGCGAGTCAGCAAAGTTCAAACAAAGGAGAGAAAAAGGGGGTCGTCTTTACAGAATGCAGGAACCAGGATAAAGAGGCTGGGGATCCCCACGTTCCTATACAGCAGGAATATCGCCAGGGGGATCTCGATGAAACTGGCCCATATGTCGTGGATGGCATCGCCCGACATGACAATCGACTCAATGTCGGTGCTCATCAGGGTCACCGGCGCCGAGTCCCTGACGGAAGACGCCTCCAGCCCGAGCGTCTTTTTGAACACCAACGAGGCGAGGCCGCCCCGGTACATTGTGAGAAGCCGGTACGTCATGTGGCGGTATGCCGCGTTGCTCACCGCGATGCCCACGTACACGAGCATGGTGGCGCCGACGAGACTCGCAGCCACTTGGGCCGCCTGCTGCTCCTCGGGCTCGCCGACAAAGCTGACGACGGAGCTGACGAGAAACGGCTGGGCGAACGTGAAGCCGGTGAAGCATAGCCGCGGGATGATGCCGGCCAAGAACTGGCACTTGTACGCCAGGAACGTGCATTTCATGAGGGCCCAACTGCCGGTCTTGGCGTCTTTGGTCCCGTGTAAGCCAAGGCGTGTTTTTGCTGATGAAGGATTTGGCAAGGAAGGGGGGGCCCAGTTACACACCATTGTCCCAGACACGCTCAAGCTGATGCAGGAGTCTGGCCGAGTCAAACTCGTCCTCGATGGCGCCGATGTCGTCGACGGCAAGCAGCGTCTTTGCTCCAACGAGGAGCAGAGGGTTGAGCCACCAAAAGACGCCGCGGCTGATGACGCCGGCGGCCGTTTCGTCGGCGGCAGCCTTGTCCTTGAGGACCAGCTCCTTGGGCCATTCCTCGAGGGCCAACAGCAACAGGGCGGCTTTGACGGCCAGGGAAGCCGAAAGCACGCCGCCAATGGCTGCAAGATCCCCCTGCCGCGTCAAGTACGTCCTCGCGGCGGCGGCGTCGAGGACGGCCGAGAGAAGGAGATACAGGTTCAGCAGGATAGACGGCCCGACCGACTTGTGGTGCGCAGCCCATGACAGCGCCGAAATGGCACCGGCTTCCAGGACGCCAATGACTGCTTCTGCAATGGACGTTTTTGTCTTGGGCGTCGATGGTAGTGACCATGAGGCGACGAGGGCGAGCTGAAGACAAGAATAGACGGCAATGGTGGCCTAAAGACGTCGTTATCAGAAAACGGTCATCTTTTATGTATATATATATCAGTGATGACCTGGTGGAATTCAACAATGAGCGCGCACCTGTTTTGCCTGGAACAGTTTGCGCGAGCACACAACTGTATCACAATGCACGAGGGTCCAAGTGCGCAACGGCGCGACCAGGATGAAGATGCATGCGGGTAGCAGGCAGAGGATGCTCTGCTCGAAGAGAATGGTAAAGTCAAAGACACCCGGTAGATTCGGACCAAACGAGTTGTCCGTATGCGCCATTATCCGAGCACCAATGGGTTTTACACCCAGTTGTAATTTATTTGTTCTCCCCTTCTACTACCAACCTCGTAAATTGGCAAATTTGGTGAAAAGAGAGAAAGGAAAAGGAAAGCTTTAGGTCTAGAGCGGAATCGAAAAAAAAAAAAAAAAGATGTTCCTCAGGGGTTGGAAAACATGGTGGAATGCAGGCAAGGAGACAGGGTGTCTTGATGCCTATTTCTCCAAAGCACAGATGACCAAGTATATCCGTCGCGATATAATGACAGGCCCGCAGGGATCAACGTCGCCGTCAGACGGGGCCAACGGAAACCTTGTCCGCAAGCCCGCGTCAAAAGACGCCAGACGGATGGAAACCCCGGGCTCACCAAGCATCGTGGCGGCGCGCAAGGCTGGTCGTCCACGGCCGCATGTTGATTCCGGGACTGACAGCATCGAGTTTGTGAGTCTTGCGAGGCCGCGCTTTACGGGGCCTTTTTGACCCTTTTTTTTTTTTTGGCGCTCGGCGCCAGATGTTTCGTTTCCATGGCCGCGTTGACCTCGACTCTTGGAGGCTAATGCTTGTGAACAAAAGGGGAAGGGTGGAAATGTTTGCGTGGTCCACCTGCGCGGCGTCGGACTGGGGCGACGATGGAGTGGGGACGGACGATGCCGTTGATGAATTTTTCTTGAGATTTGCTATTAGTTTTGAGCATGGGGCCTAGATGCAAGGCACCGCCAGCTGTCCGTGGAGGGGGTTGTAGAGTGCGCAACTCGGCGTTTTGGTTTCCGTTTTGGGGTTGCCGCCGCCAAGCCGTTTCCCGGTTCCGACGGTCAACATTGACTCGGGGCAACGGTTACCCGCTCCCGTGTTGGCCTCGGGGCCACGGCCAAGTCCACACCGGAAGTGGAGACTCGAGAGGCAGTGTCTCGACGGAACCGGTTGCCATCAGCCCATCGTCAGCCATGCATGCCCTGCTCGGCTCAAGTACCGCCGGATTTCAGCCAACGAGCGCGGTGACGTGCTCGTGGCCGGAACCGCTTTTCAAGTTGAGTCTTGGAGTGATTTTGAGACTGGTTGGTGATGTGGCCTTTTTCTTTCTTTCTTTCTTTCTTTCTTTTTTTTTTAATTGGCATGTACTAGGCTAATAACCGTCTTGCAGAAAGTGGTTGTATTGATGGTGATACCTTTGCATAAATGCCACCAAGAGCCCAATTCGTAGCCCTGTAAGAAACTAGCATAACAACCAAAAGCAAATGACCGGCTTGACAGAAAACGCCTAATTCGTCCAACAGCTTTCTGTCACATGTAGCCAACAACGAGCCAAATTGAAGGTGGTCCTGGTACTCGGTTGAAATCGAATTGCTGGGTTGCATCACATCTTGCAGCACCGTGGTGCAAGTGCAGGGCCAATGGCCGACCTTTCAGCCCAGGTGCCCTTTTCATGCGCTCCCACCTGCTGAGCAGTTACAATTGAAGCAAGAGGTGTTCTGGCTAGACATCTGCGTCGCAGCTGAACAACGTGGCGGGATTGTCTGCATCACCAGGCCCCCGACCTGTTGTCTCGGCTGCATGCGCATGGCATGGCGCACGGCGAGCCATCTTGGATTTTACCTGAGATACATGCCAAGTGCAAAACACCATGTGTGCGTAAAAGCAGCCAGACTACCATTTCCGAATAACTACCGAAAAGGGCCCATCGTGTCCAAGGGAACCTTAATTTCTCCTGGGGCGCATAGGTGGCCAAGTGGGTGCTGGCAATATTGAAACATGATTTCCAAGTTTGGAGCAAAGTTCAGAGCCGAGGTGGAAGAGGATGTGCAGCGGAACCTTCCAATGATATTACACTGCATACTAAAGTCCTCCCATTTATTCGTCGTCGGCTCAATGGTTGTCGCAGGATTGAGCAACATCACCCATCGCGTAATAAAGTCGCCATGTGGCACTGCATTGGTTACGTTTCTGGTTATGTCTTTCGCGATGGAGATACTGGTGCCCTACGCTACAACCTCCCAGCGCCTCCCTACATGGGACTTGGCCCGTAAACTCGGCTTCTAATGTAGCTTTGGGCACAGAATGTGCTCCCCGGCTCTTCACACTGGAGATACAACAAGGCTTCGTCCCCCAAAGGTCGCGGCTTAAAGACCACACGATCCGGAAATGGGCCTTCATCGCAACGACAACTTCTTGTTGCCCTGCTCAGGTGAGAAGTGCGGCTGACGATGCTGTGTGTCCTCGCCTACGACGCGACCTACGCGACTGCCGTTACAACTACTGCCGACTTTGGCACAAAATTCACTCGACAAAGGCACACCATCATCGAAAAGGCCTACACTAAACTTCGCGTGTTCTGACGCAGGATGCATGTCCTGCGCGCTTACGTGCATTGATGCTCAGCAATCGTTATATACAGTCCGTCTCGTCGTAAAAGACCTATTCCGCCCGCTAATGCAATAAAAATTGCACATGCAATAAACACAAAAGGAAAAAAAAAAAAAGGGAAAAAGCTTCAATCAGGCAGCCAAGGCCACATCTATCAACCCCTCAAACATGTCCCGACATCATTAGACCGCCGCCCGCAGTCTTGTTTCTTGAAACCTCCACCTCTTCCAGCCCAAGCTTGGACCCTGGAAGATGTGCCATGATGCGTTCTCTGTGCCATGGGCCGACAAACATGCCCTCGGGATCAACGCCGTCGCGTATCCTCCTAAACGCCTCCAAGCTCTCGCCGTACATGGCCTCGATATCAGGTCGATACGTCTCAAAATTCTTGGCCCAGTGAGGCCGGCCCCCCATGTCCTTCATCAACCACTCAAACGCCTGGTAGTAGCGGTCGCGGCACGGCGGGTCCCGCCAGTACGGTCGATACAAGGTGGCGTTGAGATACAGGGTCGGGCCGTCGGGGACAGTTGGGTCCAGGTAGGGACGGAGGTTGGAAGTGAGGCTCGTGTCGCTAACCCGCACCTCGACCGGGGCGTGCACATACAGCCCGTCGGCCGAGAAGGGCATGTTGTGCGGGACGTAGTCCGGGTCGTCGGGGGTGAGGCGGTTCAGCCAGGAGCTGAGTCGTCGCAGCGCCTCGGGGCCCCTGTGCAGGGGAATTGCCCATTCATTCACAAACTGCGAGTAGAGGCAGTTCATCAGCAGCGCCTTTCGGCTCGGCTGGACGGCGGTCGTGGCCGACCCGTTGGCGAAGCCGTACTGCATGCCGAATACGAACCACTCGACCCAGGGGAGGATGCGAGGAGCAAACTGCGCCAGGTAGAGCAAGTTGTGGTAGACGTAGTATCCCAGAGATCCGTCATAGTAGCTCACTGGGGGATCCTGTTCGGGCTCCGTGGTTTTGTCTCCCTGCCACACGACGGCCCGTCTCGTGTAGGGGAACCACCACACCCTCACAAACTCGCTCTGCGTCCACAGGTCAAGCGGCCATCTCTTGAAGAGCTTGTAGTCGGTGTCAATAGTCTGCGTCCACTTGAGCTTGAAGGCGGGGACCGCGCGAAAGGTGATCTCGGTGATGATGCCCAATGCGCCGAGAGACAGAAGCGCGGCTCGAAACAGCTCCGGATTCGACTCGGCAGAGCAGAATTCCGTTGTCCCATTGGCCAGTGTGATTCTGAGAGACAGCACATCTTCAGACATGAGGCCATGGCGCACACTGCTCCCGTGTGTTCCCGTCGAAATAGCGCCAGCAATGGACTGCTGGTTGATGCTTCCCAAATTGGGCATGGCCAGACCGTGGCGCTCCAGCTCTTCGCACAGAGCGTACAGCCGTATGCCACTCTCCATGGTCACCAGGCCCGTGTCCGAGTTGACGGCGAGGATCCTGTTGAAGCGGTCGAGGTTGACCATCCAGCTGGAAGTGCAGGTGATGTTGGAGGGCGAGTGGCCGCAGCCGGTGGTGACGATGCGCCGGCGACATGTCTGGGCGAGAGAAACAACTTTTCCGACCTCGGCGAGGGTCTCTGGCTGGATGTAGAGCTCGGGGATCGAGGAGAAGGTCCTCGCCCAGGTTCGATGGACGTGGTGCGGCTTCGCGCGAAACGCAACGCCGTCGGCGTTTTGGCCTCGCAGCTCGGATTCCGCCGCGGGATGCATGACACGGGCTCTGGGTGATGTCGTCTCCGGCAGGAGGGAGAAGCTAAGCAATAACCGTGGGATATTGCACAAGAACAGAATAAAAACGCCTGCAAGTTCACTGCTGGCCGCGGTGGTGGAGGGACAGGATTTCCTGCGCACGGCAAAAAGCGAAGAAAAGTGAAGAAGTAAGTCTGCTGAGAGTTTATGTGGAAGTGGGACCAGGACCCTTCAATGTTGCAAATGTCAGGTACCGGTCTTCAGACAAGGCGCTCACGCCTCATCATCACAAAGAAAGAGCCATGAGCCCGTGTGAAGGACGAGTTCGCGCAAGGGCGGGCAGTTGATCCGAATTTCAAAGGTTGTCATGACGGACGACGGCGGACAAGTTGGCCCTTTGTTTTGGTGGCGGGGCAATTGAGGCTCCGAGCCGAGAATGAGAATGATACTCGATGCCATGAAAAAAAAGGAAATGGCGACATGGTGGGGTCAGGCCACGAGCTTGCGATGGCGGGCCGGCTTTCTTGCAGTGTCGATCGCAGGGCCCTGCAGATGCCTCATCAAGTCTTAGTAATGAAATGACATCAATGAGCTTGTTCCGACTTGACATTGCGCCTTGGGCGAATTGGAGGCTACAAACTAAATGGCAAAATGATGTCGCGCCCGTCTGATGAAAATCTAGATGACAAGGTGCAGTCCAATCAGCAAACAGCACAGCGACAATGTCTGTATAATTGTGCACCGAGGCCCGGCATTAGGGTAACGTATGTACATGCAAATACCTACCTAAGTAGGTACTTAAGTAGGTACCTACCTAGGTAGGTACCTATGTAGGTATTACATGTATTGACATAATTTTAGCGTTTCCTGCTCATGTCAAGGTGGACCCGCAAGTGCAGGGAACTGATATTGGCTGCAGCTCCGTACGGCGTACCAGTTGACATTTGGCATCATCTACACTGCCCTATTCATCCATCGTTTCCAACCTCATCCTCCTTGGTCAACTTATTTCCTCGCAGACAAACAGCCAACGGCCCCATCGAAATCTCCATCGACAAGCGCACTCGCGGCTGCAACCACCATTGCCTTGGCCTGCGTATCCCGTCTCAACGCCCGCGCATTCTCGAGACACCAAAGCAACAGCCTCCCCAAAGCCCCTGCGTCCCCGTCGTACCCTGGAGCCTCGGAGCCAGCGTCAATAAGCCCCAACCGCCCCGTCGTCTCAAGCACCATGTTCCAGTACTTGATATCGCCATGCTGCACACCACATGCCGCGAGCTCCCCGACGCCGCGAACCAGGTCGAGAAGCCATGCTAGGGTGAGCGGCAGGTCGTTGCTATTCCGGGCCAAAGTTTCCAAATCCTCGCCGGCATACGGCATCAGGATGCCTGCCACCGAGCCGGACTTCCAGGGCCTTCTGTCGGCCACGACAACGGCAATAATGGGGACGAGGCAGAAGCGCCTGGCCATCTCGCTGTGAACCGGGGCCGCTGGTATTGAACCCATGCTGCGGATGAGAGCCTCGCGCGTCCGAATCTCGTCCTCGATAACCTGTACATCAACATCGAACTCGAGCGCTTGAAGACGCACTCTTGGTTCTGCCATGTACACCGGTCCGCTGAGCGGCTGATGTAGGTCAAGTTCTGGAGGGTTTCGACGGCCGTGGTTGGCAGTCTATCGGTGCATTTGTGCCCGTAAGAAAGCGACTTTCTGATTGGTCTGTCGACGTTTTCATTTGGTTGGCAGTCAAAAGTTACTTGGTCACCCTCTGCATTCATCCGGACTGTATTCCACGGTGGCTCCGCCTGATGTTGGGCGTAATACACTGTCGAATATGCCCTGCAATTGTTGATGAGAGCCATTCATTATCCTCGATCTCAGCTTCTACCTTCAGACAGTACCAGCGGCGATTGGCTAGGTCGTATCCCTCTGCAAAGCATCGTACCCCGGGGGTTATAAGGTTGCTGTATATTTCAACGACTGGGTCATGCCAGGCACGGTTCGGTTCCATGCTCGCCAGTTTTTGGCGCCAATGGTCTGAGAGGCACAGAGGGCGGCTTTTGCGCTGGAAATTCCGGAGAGCACGACGCCGAGCACAAGACGAAATGGAGACGAAATGATGTAGGCAGGAGAACTCGGCGTTCACTCTGCCTTCACTTTGCGTTGGGGGAGCAAAGTAGCCCATGTCCCACATTAAAGGTGCATGTGGTCACTGGTCGGTCACATGGGGCCTGGCGGCTCGCTGGAGGGGTTGAAGGGGTGGCAGAATCTTAATTCTGGCGGACATCAATAGCGGTCAAAGACGCCCCGAAGTGCAAAGCTAAAATTGAATTGGCCGGCGGAAACCTGCGGAGCCGCTAGGCTGGGGGCAGAATCAAGCCCCAGCCGCCGTTCCCACCATCGACCTAATCGT